CTTGGACGGACATAAGTAATCATAAGGCCAGTAATAAGGCCATAGGACCCGTGGGGGTAGTTAGAGGGAGAGGTTTCAACCCAATTTAAGTTAAATATAACTGAGAACAAACATGTCTCTTGTTCCTAATAACTAGAGTCTACTTAGCAGACTTGGATGCAAAGCAAGACAGTGGTTCTCATACTTGAGTGAGCATCAGAACCACATGGAGAACTTGTCAAAAATAGAAACTGCTGGGCTCAGAATTTCTGATTCCTTAGGTCTAGGTGGGGCCTATGCATGTCTAACAAGTTCCCAGAGATGGGGCGATGCTGATCTGAGGACCTCACTTGGAGAGCCATTTGTTGTAGAAGTTTGGACTACATAATCACCTTTCCACTGACAGAAACCCAGGGAGTAGACTTATAAGGGGTATGGGCATGTTGGCCGTCAAGTATCACATGGATTCTAATAGCTGTTCTTTACTACTGTTATCCCCATTTCACTAATTTTCAGGGAAAAACCCTCTTACCTAAATTCTTCCAAAGATCAAGTATTTCCTCCCTTATGGTGCATTCCCTACCTGCACTAGTCCATGATGCCTGTAATCCCAACACTTTGGGAGGCCAAGGAAGAAGGATCACTTGAGCCCAGGAGTTTGAGACCAGCTAGGGCAACATAGACTCCATCTCCACAAAAAAATTTAAAAATTAGTTGGGTGTGGTGGCATGCACCTGTGGTCCGAGCTACTCAGGAGGCCAAGATGGGAGGATCACTTGAACCTGGGAGGGCAAGGCTGCAGTGAGCTGTGATCGCACCACCACGCTCCAGCCGGGGCACAGAGCAAGGCTTTCTCTCTCTCTTTCTCTCTGTCTCATACACACACACCAGATACAGGAGGAAAATAATAATAGAAAATTCAATTCATTCTTCACCTCCAAAGCATCTAAATCCAGGCCTGACAGAAATACACCACCCAGAAACACACCAGGAGCAGCCTTCTCCTTCGTCCGTTCTCCGGTGACCGATAATACAGCAGATGTCAAAAGCACAGCCTGCTCCAGCATCCTGAGCGGACAGGCTTCAGCCCCACGTGGAGACGCCAGGTGGCCACACAGGTGTTACCGTGGTGGTTCTCAGCACTGGCTGCACATTGGAACTGCCTGGGAAGCTTGTAAACATCCAGACGGCCGGGTTCCCCTCAAAACCAATTAAGTCAGACTCTCTAGGGGTGGGACTCAGGCCTCACAATTTTAAAAGATCTTCAGGTAATTCTCATGTTCAGCCAAAATTGAGAAAAGCTGTTTTGTTTTTTTCTAACCTCAGGCACTCAGAAATACCAGTGTAGACTTGGCAGGGTTGTCCACCCTACTGGATCATTCATTCTGACCCTTAGGATGATCCTGGTTCTTAGCTGTTCCATATCACTCAGCTCTGAGACATAACCTCATGCAGGGACAAGAAACACTTCAACAGAATCAAATGCCAGAGCAAAGGACTTCTCAATAGACCTAACCTCAAGGTTACATCTCTCCATTTAATAGTGTTGTCAGTTTTGAGTTCCTAAAAAGGTCAAAGGCGGTGCCTCCCAGCCATAACCCTGGTCTCATTGTTTGGCTGGAGGCAACACTGTGGGAGGCTGGCAGGAGCACCTCCAGGACAGAGCAATCAGCTTCAGTGCCTGCAGCACTCTGACTTCTATTTCCTCTTGATTTTCTGGAGTTTTGGAGTAAAGATAGAAGATGACACCAGATGGCCGGGGGCAGTGGCTCACGCCTATAATCTCGGCACTTTGGGAGGCCAAGGCGGGTGGACTGCCTGAGTTCAGGAGTTTGAGACCAGCCTGGGCAACACAGTGAAACCCCCATCTCTACTAAAATACAAAACATTAGCCAGGCTTGGTGGCAGGCACCTGTAGTCCCAGCTACTCGGGAGGGCTGAGGCAGAATTGCTTGAATGAACCCAGGAGGCAGAGGTCGCAGTGAGCTGAGATTGCACCACTGCACTCTAGCCTGGGCGACAGAGCAAGGCTCCATCTCCAGAAAAACAACAACAAAAAAAAGACACCAGAATAGAAGAATTAGTAGTCCTGGTCTTAGAGGCATCACAATTTGATGACCCCCTCCTCACTCATTTCCTCAAAGGCTAAAGTCCCAAAATGTTAATAAGAGTGTAGATTTTTTGCCTGTTTTGCAAACATGAGTACCTGACTTGTCTGTGTCCCTACAATGTCATCCACCTCTTCAAGAGCTCCTCTGCCTGGGTCACTGGGTTTCTGGGCCTGAGGTGTTTGCCCGGCATCCCCCAAGATGACAGATTTCCTGAGGTCAGGAGCTAAGGTTTACAGGCTATCTCCTGTGGTTGCCCCCATGCAGGGGTTCCAAGAGCATTGATTGGTTGGTAGAAAATATGGGAGGCCACATTTGAAGAGGAAGCTGTTCTTCCCCCTAGCCGGGCTCTCTTGAGAATTAAATGTGATTAAGGGCACAGTGGGCAGCAGGCAGTTAGAGCTCACCTTGGGGGAGTTGTCAAGAACCTCACTCACCACTATCCCAGGGCCCGATATCCCAATGTCCACCTGATGTCTGGCAAAAGACGCGCTTCCTTCTAGGAATAGGAGGTGCCTGTTTTTCACAGAGGCCTCTTCTCAACCCCTGCCCCTCTAATTTATCTAGCAAATGGCCCCAGGAGCTACCCATCTACTTCTCCCCCTTGCCCAAGGGCATCCGAAGGGGCTCTAAATAATATGCTGATATGCAATTTGGGGGCCTCAGGACAGCCCACTTCCCACATGGGCACAGCCATGTACCACCCACTCCTGGAAGGTCCCCTCAATCCAGGGCTCACTGAGAGCAATGGGGTGGCAGGCCAGGCACTCTCTGCACAGAGCCCGGGCAGCCCCTGAATACTCACCTCTTTGGCTCAGGGCCTGAGCGTCAGGCCAGGCTTGGGGCTAGGCCTGAAACCTGGTTATGGAGGTGGGCCTGGGCCTGGCCCTCAGGGAGCTTCCATTCCAGCCCTCAGGCAAGAGAAGAAGACCAGGAGGAAGAAAAGCCTATGGAGAGCAGGGGCCCCATTCTGACCAGTGCTCCCTTCCCTCTTCCAGCAGCAGTGGTCTGAGGCAGGACAAAGCTTCCACTGCCTCCTCCTTTTGGGCAGCTCTGAGGCCTGAGGAGGTAATTAACTAATGATGCACCTGCTCTTCATTAACCAATAAAGCAGGGATACCCAACCACAGCTGGAATGTAACCAATACTGGGGGAATTAAAGATCAAAAAACACCAAAGGCCAAGACAAAGCTGATGGAGTGGCTTCTTCCCACTCACCCCCCACCTCTACCCCACCAGCCCTCACCAGAGGCTGAAAGAGATTCCTCCTCACTTATTTCTCAGGGGATCTTGCTGGAGCAGGAAATTTCCCTGACCCCTTGTGGGTGGAAACTGGAGTGTGGGTGCTTGAACTAGCTACTTCAGTGCCTGCAGGGGCAGACCCCACTCAATGGAATCCGCTGCACTCAACCCCTCCAGGGAGGGAGCATGCAGGTGAGCGGGTGCAGGAGCCAGGGAGAGCACTTTGGGTGCCAGCAGGAACACACTCTGTCCTGGCCCTGCAGCAGTGTCTAGGGGAGTGCCCACAACCCTTGAAGCCCCAGAAGGAGTGTTTCAGTCAATGCTCTTTTAGCTTTGCCACCTGCAGATGGCTTAAGTGTTAACAGCTCAGTGGAGGGTCAGTGTGACAGCCCTTTGCACCCACACTCGAGTTCTTATCCGAGGTCTAAGAGGAATGAGGTCACACAAACAAATTGGAGATGATAAATGCAGGGGATTTTATTGCTGATGAAAGTGGCTCTCAGTGAGAAGTAAAGCTGAAAAGGGGAGGGATTGGGTATGTAATCTTCCCCCAGAGTTCAGCCATCCCTGGCCAGACTCCTCTCCAAAGCTATGCCATCAAGCTGTCCCTCTGAAGTCAAGCCCCTTCTCTCTGACATTCAACCGTAGTCTCTGACATCCAGCTGCTTCTTCTCTTCTCTCTCTGCCGGTGGAGCCTGGGGCTTTCATGGCACAGGAGAGCGGGTGGGGCGGGCCATGGGTGGTTTTGGAAAAGGCAACATTCAAGCAGGAAAACAGGAATGTATGATCTCACTTTGGACCATAGTTTCAGGCTTGAGGGTGGGGCCCTTGCTAGGGACCCGCCCACTTCTGCCCAGAATTTCCCTGCCTCCTGTCCCTATCATTGCCACCCAAACCTGGGCAAAGCTAAGGCTGAAATTCCCCTGGAGTGAAAACAAGATGGACATGAAGACCTGCTAGACCAGGAGTCACCCCTGCCACCGGCCTCCCCTTTTCTGAGCACTTCCTCCCTTTCTGGTGCCTCGTCATCACTCAGCTTTCCTTGGAGTGCACCCTCCAGTCCTAGGGAACCTGCTTCCAGAAACCTACTGGCATTAGTCATTTACACCTTTGTGTGATTTCAGTCTTTATGTCATCTCTCCCACCAAAATCCCTGGGCCTCTGGGTGGAACGTCAAAGTCTTGTAGCCACTTTTCCTGGGTTGAAGAACTCCAGGCATGGCAAAGCCCTGGAAGAGATGTGGGGTGGAGGAGGGATGCAGAGGAATTCTGGGTCCTGAAATTATGCCATTTAAGTGAATCTTGCCATCTCAGGCCCCACCACTCCGAAAGTGTTGGCATTCCTCAGAGTTATGTCCTTGGTCAAGGTCCCTCCACACGTCTCTGGGGTCTTTTTTGCAGCACATAAGACTTCCACCACCACCCATCCTCGATACCCTCAAATCCTTACCTCTACCCGGTGTCTCTGAGTGCCCTGCCTTGGGATCAGGCTGGCTACTGAATGCTCAGTTTCTACCTGAACATGTGGCATCCCCTTCCCCAGACGCCATCTGCTCCTTCTTCCATTCCATCAGTGGGACCATTCTACTCGGGTGACACCTGCCACATAAGCCCCTCTCTTCTCCATCCATCCTTCCATTGCCTTGGTTAGAGCCCTAGAACCCTCACTTACCTATGAGAACAGTCTATGTTTATTGAGAGTTTGAGGAGTCCTTGTAGGTGGTTTTTCTGCATGGAAAAGATTAAAGATAATTTAGTTTTAAAAAAAAAAACAAAAGCAATGTAACTTTTTGGCATGATCAATTAAAAAAATCTTCCTTTAGCTTTTTTTCCAACAGGAATAATTTAATATAAAGAATTAACTAAGCATATGTTTGTTGACTGTATCACCAATAATTATAATTATACTTTATTGGGCAACATTTTCAGTAAGTAGAGCTTTTAAAGGCCTAAGGATTGAGCACTTTCAGGGTGTCATTTCTCTGTCTCTCTCTCTCGATATATATATTTCTATATATATATATATATATATATTTGTACCATCTTAACCATTTTTAAGTGGCACATTGTTCAGTGACCTTAAGTACATTCACGTTGTTGTTCTACCACTGCTAACATCCATCCACAGAATTCTTTTCATCTGCAAAGCTGAAACTCTGTACACATTACACACTAACTCCCCATTCTCCTTCCCCTGCCCTAGCCCCTGGCACCACCGTTCTACTTCTGTCTTTATGAATTCGACTACTCTAACCTCACATAGGTAAAATTATATTATATTTGTTATTTCATGACTGGCTTATTTCACTTAGCATAGTGTCCTCCAGGTTCATCCATGTCGAAGCATGTGACAGAATTTTCTTCCTTTTTAAGGCTGCATAATATTCCATTGTATGGCTATACCACATTTTGTTTATTCATTCATCTGTAAAAAACCTTCCTTCAGCTTTTAAGTTCTTTGAAAGATTTTCCCCCCATTTATAACTGTAGCAAATTATAGGAAACATCTTTAGAATATTGTTAGTTAATATTTGGTCCTATTTATAAGCTTATGTATATACATTCAAACATTTTAAACTATTTTTATAAATTTAATATATGCAATTTCTTTTTAAATACCTCAATTATCTGACTTAAACAAAATCTTAACAATCACTTTTAATAAATGTAAATATAATAAACTGATAAATATAGCAATACTTAAATTCTTCTAACTCTTCCAACACAGAAATTTATAAAGCTTTCAACTTAACATCACAAGTCTAACTTCTGCAATTGCACTTTTAAATTCAAATTATAGTCCCAGCACTTTGGGAGGCTGAGGTAGGCAGATCACTTGAATTCAGGAGTTTGGGCCGGGCGCGGTGGCTCAAGCCTGTAATCCCAGCACTTTGGGAGGCCGAGACGGGCGGATCACGAGGTCAGGAGATCAAGACCATCCTGGCTAACAAGGTGAAACCCCGTCTCTACTAAAAATACAAAAAACTAGCCGGGCGAGGTGGCGGGCGTCTGTAGTCCCAGCTACTCGGGAGGCTGAGGCAGGAGAATGGCGTAAACCCGGGAGGTGGAGCTTGCAGTGAGCTGAGATCCGGCCACTGCACTCCAGCCTGGGCGACAGAGCAAGACTCTGTCTCAAAAAAAAAAAAAAAAAAGAATTCAGGAGTTTGAAACCAGCCTGGGCAACATGGAGAAACCCCATCGCTACAAAAAATAAAAAAAGATTAACCAGGTGTAGTGACGCATACCTGTAGTCCCAGCCACTTAGGAGGCTGAGGTAGGAGAATTGCTTGAACGGGGGGGCGGCCCCCAGCCTGGGTGACAAAGCAAGACCCTATCTCAAAAAAAAAAAAAAAAAAAAAAAAAATTCAAATTATAAGCCTCAGCTGTTCCTCTCATAGACCAAATTCTCTTAAACATCGTAAGTACTTAAAATGTCAACTATGTATAGAGTATTCCTAGAACAAAAGAATTAATACTGACCAGGTGCAGTGGCTCACACCTGTAATCCCAGCGCTTTGGGAGGCTGAGGTGGGTGGATCATGAGGTCAGGAGTTTGAGACCAGCCTGACCAATATGGTGAAACTCCATCTCTACTAAAAATACAAAAATTAGCTGGGCGTGGTAACGCACGCCTGTAGTCCCAGCTACTTGGGAGGCTAAGGCAGAAGAATTGCTTGAATCCAGGAGGAAGAGGTTGCAGTGAGCCGAGATTGCACCGCTGCACTCCAGTCTGGGAGACAGAGTAAAACTCCGTCCCCCCTCCAAAAAAAGAATTAATACTATCCAATGTATTTGAAATAATTTCTAATTTCTATACTGTACTTAATTTTCATGGGCCTAAAGAGGTTTTCCCAGAGAGGAGAGTTTTCCAAACTTACCAGAAAATAAGAACCACCTGGGCATTTGTCAAATACACAGATTCCTGGGCCCCAACCTACATTCCCTGAATCTGCATTTCCAGGAAAAAGACCAGGTAATCTGCATGATTATAACAGCCCCAGTTTTATCTCATCACTGTGGAAGTTTGGAAACACTTTACTTAGGGGAAAATTGCTTCTCAGTCATCTACGGACCAGATTTTGGCCAGGCTCTGAGTAGATCTTGAGGGTAACTCTGACAGGATCCCCCTACCCCTTTTTTATCTTTCATTTCAGGGTTGTTGTAAGTTACAGGAGGCAACTCACCTTCTTTTGATGTGTATCGCATCATTATTCAGTTTTCAAATCAGAGTACAGCCTGGGGCCTCATCACTCTCTGGCTATATAGATAATGTCAATATCTTCTCTTTCTAGCTCTGAAGAACTTTTTAAAAATTCTTGTCTCTCCAGGCTCTCAGGACCACATATCTTTAGAGACTGACAGGCTCCTAAGAAGCACCCTGATTCTGGCCCTGCCCCCTCCACAGGTGATCTTCCCTCCACATGTGATCTTCCCAAGATGCAAGAAAAGGGCATACCCTATTAAATCCTCCCCTGGCTGCCACCGCCAAGGTCCTATGGACCTAAAGGAAGAAGGCATAAAACATCATTTTAAAGAGTTAACTTGAAGGCTGGGCGCGGTGGCTCATGCCTGTAATCCCAGCACTTTGGGAGGCCAAGGCAGGCAGATCACGAGGTCAGGAGTTCGAGACCAGCGTGACCAACATGGTGAAACCCCATCTCTACTAAAAATACAAAAATTAGCTGGGTGTGGTGGCATGCACCTGTAATCCTAGTTACTCAGGAGGTTGAGGCAGGAAAATCGCTTGAACCCGGGAGGTGGAGGTTGCAGTGAGCTGAGATTGCACCATTGCACTCCAGCCTGGGCAAAAGAGCAAGACTCTGTCTCAAAGAAAAAAAAAAAAGAGAGAGAGAGTTTACTTGATTTTTAAACTTTTATGTATTTTTTATTGTTGTTGCAGAGACAGGTTCTTGCAATGTTGCCCAGAGCTGGTCTTGAACTCCTGACCTCAAGCAGTCCTCCCACCTTGGCCTACCCAAAGTGCTGGGATTACAAGGATGAGCCACTATGCCTGGCCTTAAAGAGTTTATTTGAGCCAAAGTGAGGGCAGCTGCCCAGGACACACTTCCAAGTTGCCTTGGGGAGTGTTCTGTTCCGCCTTTGTTTGCAAGCAAGTTTTCAAAGGCAAAAGGGAACAAGGAGTGGGATGATATAAAGTTGTTTGACGGTTCTCATTGGTTTTCAGAAATAACGCTGATTAGTGATTGGCTATACATTGTTGAACTATAGAATATGAGTTATGGTATCCAGAGTGTGGCATTTTACGGCTACTGAGTGTCAGTCTAGAGCCCAGATGGCAAGTGGCTTCAAGAGGGAATTATTGATCTCATGGGCAGAGTGAGACGTGACTACAGCCACATTTTAAATGTCTCTCTGGGCCGGGTATTTCAAAGGGGCTGATGTTCCTCAGATTAAAAAGTTTCTTTTCTTTCTTACTCCCTAGCCTGGCATGAAGAGCCTGGCTCACAGCCCACCTCCCTTTTCCCAGGTCTGTCTCTCAGGCCACCTCCACTGGGTCCCAGCTGCACAGAACTCCCCACAGTTCTCCAAAGAGCCCACTCAGCGCCACACCTGAGGCCAGGCACCTTAACGTGCATTATAGGAGAATTCTCGAAAGCAATCTTTGCGACCCGCTGAATCCCATCTCCAGGCCTTTGCCCTTGATGTTTTCTCTGCCTGGAGTGCCCTCTCCTAACTTTCTGACTCCCACCCACCCTTTAGGGCCCAGCGTAACTGTCTCTTCCTCTGTGGAGCATTTCTTGACTACTAAAGTCAAGTTCGTCTCTCTTCTTTGCGTCCCCACTGACCTAGCAGATACTTCCGTTTGTAAACATCTGTGATGATCACTGACCTAGGCAAAGCTAAGTGAGGCCAGGGACCCTGTCTCTTGTTCATCACCAAGGTGCCAGCACCACGTAGAGCCAGGCTCACTCACTGAATGATAACCCCATGTCTCCCCCGGCCGCATCAACCACGGATGAACAGATGTACCAGGCTCCCCTGTACCAGTGCCTCTCCACTGCCCTTGGAGCAAAATGTTTGTTTCATTTCATTAGGCTGAAAAAGAATGGTTTAGCTGCTTCCCTGGGTATCACTGCCAACATGCCCCAGTGGCCCAGATGGCTTCTTCACCAACAACTGTGACTGGTGACCCCAGTGTGACCACTAGCTAAGATCTTTGTCCCACGGGGGAAGTGCAGACAGGTGCCCACGTCAATAGATCCTGCCAAAGATGTCTAGTGCTAATTCTTCTCCCCAGCCAAACCAAGTTGGCCAGGCTGCAAAATGCCTGAGGAAGACCTGCCGCCAGAGCGGGCCTACCCACACCTGAGGGCTCCCAGGTGGGCCAGGCTCTGTGCCTCCAGCAGTTGCTGCTGCTGCTGCTACGGCTCTCCCAGTCATGAGCCAGCCCCGTGGACTGGCATCAGCCTGGGAGCTTAGCCATTTCATGCATCTGCAGCAAGCATCGGCTCCTTCTCCCAGCAATCTGTGTGGAAAGTAGCAAGCTCCACTCAACTTAACCATGGACAGAGCAGCCAAGTTTTAGAGCACCAGGTCTGAAGGCTGCCTGACCTTTCTCTCCCAGAGTACAGTCCTGGCCAGGACTTCAAGCCTCAGTGAAGATTTATTTTTACTCAGACCTAGCGTTGAAAGCTCAGGGAACAGGCTTTCATTTAATGTCTGGCCAAGAGACATGTTTGGAGATTGACGGCATTTCAGGTCAGGTG